TGCGTGACGATTCCGTATATTTCGTATTCTTTTTTATGTTGGAGTGATAATTGTAATATTTTGTCCCATTATTGTCATAGTTGCAAATTTTGATGGTCAATTAACAAAGATGCGGTGTATATTCCGAAAATGAACTTCGTTTGTGGATTAACAGCATAAATGCTGAGAGACACACACTTTGAAGTTCTTCGGCTCATGTAATTATGCTAATTAGACTCGAAATGAAAATTGCCAAGAATCGTAAATTATTGCATTGTGCCAAGGTTATGTTTACGATTTTAAGATATGCATTTTCTCCAACTGTGGATCGGTGGGTCTTTCCGGTGATTTCCGGTTTCTTCCTCCACCATTATTACTGGCCGCCATGTATAGCCTATCGTGTGCTGAATGATGGCGTTAAACCCCACAACAACAACAACCAACTATGGCATTTTTTGTTTCCTTTTATAAAGATTATGGCAGTTGCACAGATCACAACAAATCATATATTTAAAAAAAAAACATTTAAAACAATAACATAAATGAAATAACATTAATTCATTGAAGAATTGTCTTCAAATATTGTTGATACTAAATATATATATATATATATATATATATATATATATATATATATATATATATATATATATATATATATATATATATATATATATATATATATTAATCCTAAACATTTTGTACACGTGCTATATCGCCTTAAATAATTTTATTTTTCTGAATTAACATGTCCTCCATAAAAACCACGTTCATATTTTCAAGTTATGTTTAACAGTTATAAATACTAAATTATAAAATAATATTGAGGCAAATATAATTTTTTTTCAAAAAAAACCCCACCCCCCACCACAAGATTAAAGTGGCGTGGGAAATGAAGAAAGTAAAATAAAAGACCCTTCAAGTGAAATTGAAAGCCTAATTAGCAATCAAAATTATTTCAAGTACCTATAATGATTTATTTTTGTTTAAATATAACCAGAACAATCTATATTGTTAAACTCGTGGTTTATTTTCTGCTTAATCATTGGAAGCCAAAATTGTTTGAAGTTTTCTTCTTTTATTTGATTCTTATCAGCTTTAACAGCAGGGCCCACGGAGACTGGAGTTTGTAACAATTCTGTCAGATTAGAGAACTTTCTCAGAAATAGATTACACGGAGATCCAAGTCACTATAATGTTTTGGAGAAAACATACCTGTCGCTAAAGAAAATGAATATGCAGAGCTCAAATATGGGGGTCAAATTCCAATCGAATCTAGTAGGAAAGTTTGAAAATTATATCAGTAACACCTTTAATATTGACACGTGTGAGCAATTACACTTGAACCTATCAACGATTTTGATTGGAAAAATAGAAAATGAATTCTTGAAATACGGAAATAGGGGATTTGTCTTAAGCTGCCGACTGCTGTTTAGTTGCTTAAGCTTATAAAAAAAATGCTGATGTCAAAAAGGTTATGTTTGAATGATTAATAGGGGGAGGGATAGGAAATCTCGTATAACTGTTGGCTAAGACTTCATGAAATGTTGGATAAATGCAATTTTCATTGGTGAGGGCACCATGACGACCGTTCACGTGATGTACATTAATTTCAATACAGACATGTTTGTATGTAAACCAATCAATTACCATGTAATTTTTGTATAAAATATATGGCCCCTAGGACCTATTAATTCGTTCTGATGATCTTGTTAATACTACAAGGTACTTCAGTTCCAAGTAGGAAGAGAAAGTCCGACTTCAAAGTATCTCTATCAATAGTGCCGATGACATTCCTGATATTGCGATAGAAACAACCCAGCATGAATGGAGTTCCAGCTATCTGACAATTCAGTTTGGAGCAAGTTTATCAACACGGGGATTATGTAAACAAGCCTTGAGTGGGCTCTCCTTGGCTTGAAAAGTGACGAGTCTCCGCCCCTAACAACCTCTTCCTGTAATCCATTAAATGTATAGGATATATAGAGTGGTCTTGCGATCTGGCGCAAAATCCCTTGACAGACTGGCATACGAAGGACAAACGCTTGCGATTGCATTTCTACTTTGTATAACAAGGATTACTGAGCAAACAATGGCTACAGGGGAATTCCACCTTATTTTTGCTGTGACTCTACTCGTTTTCATTCCTTATGGAGCATCGCAAAACATTTGCAACTTCAGATTGGAAGTTCCAAACGTGGAGGTTTGCAACCTTAGTGGAGGTTTGGCTGAAGACTTCCAGGAAAACTTTTTCAAATTGGAAGGAAATCTTCAAGGATTAGTGGCCTTTCAAGACACAAGCCACGATTTTCTACAAACGTATCTTCATGGACTTAACAGTCAGGATAGACAGACGGAAGAACAACTGTATAAGCTGATGAAGAATCTTCAAGCACTGCAGTCGCTGGTGGCCGTTCACGAATCGGTTGAAGAAATAGAGGTTGCGATTCCGGTGACGAATCTAAATGTGATTGACACAGTAAGGAAAGACTTTGCAAAGGCTGTTGCTGATCTCGAAAATAAGTTGACCAATCTGAGCATTGCCCTAAAAGACAACGAAAAGATGAGGGTACAGCTGAACATCGATTTCGAGCGTCAGTTACAAATAAATCACAAAAATATTAACCAAGCTGTTCAAAATGTGCAAACTCTGGAATCAGCGATCACAAGGGCTCTAGCGACCGCTTCGGTGGCAGCAGTGAACGCTAATGCACCAAACGCATCTATTTTGTCAAATCTGAGTGATGAAATTTTCAAACTAAGCGTTCGCGTGGAAACTGTAAGGATCCTGACAGATAGCAATCTCAAGGATTTGGAAAGGCGTGCGCATGTTTCGGAAAATGACGTTAGTAATATCGGTTCCGATTTACAAAATGTAAAGTCTACATTGCAGACGGTTGATTCTGTCACTCCACTTGTAACTGCTAATGCGTCGATAATCAGAGACGCTGCAACCGTATTTGGGGATCGAGTGGGAGCTTTTTTGCAAAACAATACTATGGACGTGTTCATGTTGAAAACAAACCTTAGCCAAATCCAACAGGATGTGACAGGAATCGGAAATGATCTGCTGAAGTTCACTATTGGCCAAGCTAGCTTTAGATCTGCTCTGAGTAACCTGACACATCAGGTGCACAGTCTGGATTCACTGATTGTTTTCTCGTCTGGAATCGAGAAAAACGAGACTGGGCAAGTCTTAAGTCTCCAACTGGTTCTGGAATCGGACAAAGCGGCGCTGGCCTATGCGTTTGCCGTGTCAGACAAGATACCTAGAAATTTTCCCATCAACGGAGATGGCAGCGTTGCAAATACAGAGGGACTAGAGGTACCCATTGTTCACGAAACAGAGCCAACGAAAGGGAGTGGTGATGAGCAACATCGACTGACGGGATTAGAGGGATGGCTGGGCCTAAAATCGGGCCAAGGAAAGTGAGATAGAACAAAATCAATTATTCAAAAATGAGAACTTGAATATGTAGTAATCGTTGCTATAAAAATGACCACAATTCATGATTCTCTGTACAATATGACTTGATCAATCAACACAAATATAAATAGAACTGTAAAGATTGATGGAGCTGCAACCTGACAAGGAATGTTTCATTTATTATTATCGTAGGTCTACAGTACCCGCTGTAAGAGTCTATGGATTCTACCTAGCTAAGTCATGCAAGATAATTATGGTTTACAAAATTATAGTACTTATGCTTTGCGCTGCCTCTTGAAAATTTCAATGGGAATAGCTTGTAAATTAAATCTTCTATCAGATAGCTTTATATATATATATATATATATATATATATATATATATATATATATATATATATATATATATATATATATATATATATATGTTCAAAAAGTTTTGAAATGAGCTCTAAGTCTTTCCAGATAATCGAGAAACGGGTGCCAAATTACATTTTGTAATTTAATATGATTTTATGTATTTTTCATTTTGTCATCGTTACGAAAAAAATGTAATCTAAACGTATATGATCTGATTTTCCTACGCGTGCCATTTCTATTTTAATGAAACAATGTTCAACAACTTCGGAAAGAAACATCATGCCTTTGACTTCTGTCAAAATTTATGAGTGATATTTTGTAATTTTTGGTTTCATTAGAGATAAAATGAGAGATCATAAGGAAAGGTCCATGAGCTTTTTTCTTTGTCTCACACTGTTACAATCGCGCTCACTGCTTGCACCTGTCAATCATTTCTTAGTTATGTTAAAAAGTGTATTAAACTAGATTAAAGCCGCTCTCTGAATTGACTTGTGAATGTAAGCAGTTGATTTACTCGGTATCAGCCCATTGCGATTCTTGGACACGGAGAATTATTACAAGTTTTAAAAACTGCCATATTTCTTTTCTGTACCGCACATCAAGTAAAAGTTGATTCTTAAGATTTGTTTCAAAAAAATTACATTATAAAACTGAATTAGCGGTAAAATCAAAATAAAGAATTTTTTCACCATCCAAGAAGGGCTTCGGCTTATATATAAAATTGCAGTATCGCGAACTTGATATCGTGATATTAGATCATGCCGAGTTGTCAGCATCAAAAAAGTTGGATCAACAAAAGGTTTCTTAAATAACCTCTCTCTGAGAGCTTTGTTTACTGCCAGTATTGGCATTCTATCGCTTGGGGCTCTGTTACTAGGAGGTCTCCGTAATATTAACTTCCAGCCTCGTTTGAGAATATGGTAATACAAAATCAGAAAACGATAGTTTTGTTTTCTACTTGTAGAAAGTGACAGTACAATTTTCGCTTTTTCTGCTATAGTAATGTAATGTGATGTGATTTAGACTTTTAACGTAGCTTTAACATTTTTTCAGTCATATCGCTACGATGTCTGCAGTGGGACAGTTTATAGTGATGTCCAGCAATGGGGCATCATGCCGCAGACATGTAGCATGATGTCCCACCCAGTCACATTATCCTGGCACCAGGTCGACCAGTCCGAACACTAACCTCTTAATGCTGAGCGCTTTAGCACCATTTTTAAAAGTCTTTGGTATAACTCGGCCGTGGTTCGAACCCTCGACCTCCTGCAGTCGAGGCGGACGCTCTAATCACTAGGCCACCAGAGCTGTCTGCGATAGTAAAATGATAGGCATATATTAAATAAAATTAATAGCATGGATAATTTATTATAAAAGTTTTCAGGATAATCTTATTGTTACTTACATTAGTTCTTTATTTCATTGTTTCATTTTTTTCTTCTACTTGATTTTATGTAAATAAACATTATTAAGTTATTATGATTTAAGTCAGATTTATTTTCTTCTGTCAGCTGTAAACATTCAATGCTAGCAAGATATAATTTTAAGAATAAAATACTGTTCTACACAGTTAAATGTAATTTCATATCTTTTTGTTATCTCTAAAATCTGTAATTATTGTTTACATGTATGCTGTACTTAATATAAAAACACCATTTAGAGAACGAGCATTTTCATTCTTTTTTTTTTTTTTTGATTGGTCGTTAGGTCTTTACTTATTCCGTTTCTTATTGATTCCCCAATTTGAACAAAAAAGTAAACAAAACAAATGGTCACAAAATCCCCCCCAAAAAAAAAAACTGGTGTCGTCCTTTGTGTGAACATACAAAAGTAGGGGCTTGTTTGTGTTGGTATATTATGCCTGTTTGGAGTATTCATCATAAAGGATGAATATATAATTTTTGTTAACGTCGTAAATTTTACAAATTATATTCTATGAAAATATTCAGCAATTAGTTTGATTGCACCATATAGGATTGACACATAATAAAAACTATATGAGAGTTTACATGAAATTAAGGAAGTTGTTTTTATATTCATATAACAAATACACGATCAAGTCAATTGCAAATGTCCCGATTTTTCCAAATATCTATGTAACGTTATTGTCAGGAAATCACTTGGCCCTTTTATACCCTTGCAAATTTATTTATTTATTTATTTATTTATTTATTTATTTATTTATTTATTTATTTATTTTCTTGTTTGACAGTAAGATGGTATATTATTGGTGCAAGAAGTAAATAAATAAAAAAAATATTTTATGCCATCTATAGTTCTTATATAAAAGATATGTGTAAGTCGACTGGTGTTAATGTTTTTTTTCTCAAAGGTATGCATTTATTTATTTATTTGCTTGTTTGTCAGTAAGATGGTATATTATTGGTGCAAGAAGTAAATAAATAAAAAAATATTTTATGCCATCTATAGTTCTTATATAAAGGATATGTGTAAGTCGACTGGTGTTAATGGTTTTTTTTCAAAGGTATGCATAAGGGGGTCAGTCTTAAACTGAAAAGTGGATTGGCTCTTTTTATCTCTGTTTGAGGGCAACCATTAAGAAAAATCTACGTAAAATGTCCAATTAAAACTTACGAATAAATAAATAAAAACAATAGAGGTGGTTTTTAAGTGGAGCACTATAAACACATCATAATTGTATCTATTTACCTGCATGTTTCTTCATGTCTATCTATATCTATTCAGCAGCCTATCTATCTGTTTCTTTATGTCTTATGGTTTTTTTTATTCAATTATCTATCTAATTGAATCCATCCATCATCCTTCTAGCCACTCATACATCTCTCTCTCTCTCTCTCTCTCTCTCTCTCTCTCTCTCTCTCTCTCTCTCTCTCTCTCTCTCTCTATATATATATATATATATATATATATATATATATATATATATATATATATATATTTCTTTCTTTCTTTCTTTCTTTTATTCTTTCTAACTTTCTTTCTTTCTTTCTTTCACCAAATTGTGCTGTTTTCTTCTACGCCATAGGATCAGGAGAGAAGCAATGATAAATATAAAACATCAAATTTTAGTCCAGACTTACGACAATGAACAAGAGTAATGAAATGAATTCTTTACTTTTCTTAGGATTCCGTGAAAGAAGTTACAATCTGATGCAACTTATGAACTCAATTTGAAGAATGGAGAAAAATAAATATTTGCCTCGAAATAAAGGAAACAATTATTTTCATTGTTCATTTTAACATTTTCAGCATCTACGCCACACGTACTAGGCAACAGTTCATTAATTTGCAACAAACAATCCATGAACGTTTTTGCTAAATTATTTCTATAACAAAGAACACAGATAGAATCTTCCAAATTAGATAACATTTTTCATATCATAACCAAAATCAATTTATGCAATTCATATCTATCTATCTATCTATCTATCTATCTATCTATCTATCTATCTATCTATCTATCTATCTATCTATCTATCTATCTATCTATCTATCTATCTATCTATCTATCTATATATATATATATATATATATATATATATATATATATATATATATATATATATATATATATATATATATATATATATATATATATATATATATGAATGTTTGCTCTTTCAAAAAGATAAGCATTGTTCAAACATACGACCGTATAAACAAAAATAGCATAACAGCATTCGCTAAACATCTTTCTTATTTGATACACGAAATATGATTTTATGTTGGATATGCTAGTGGTTACAGTAGCTTTTCTATTTGAGAATAAAAGTTTTTTTTGGACAAACGACTGCAGGGTAATAAAGATCGTTCAAGAGAGGTGGTCGTGTAGTAATATATCTACCAAAGAGAATAAAAAAAATGAGAAAGTAAAATTTAGGAGCCATCTACACACCTGTCTGTCTGTCTGTCCGTATCGCTACCATATGCATATACGTTTATATCTTTGTATCTATTCATGTAACTTGCTTCCTCTAAAACAGAATTACCCTTTTTCAAAATTTCAGTGTACTGTATAAAGATTTTCTTTACCTTTGTCTTTTGGTTTATGCTTTATTTCCACGAGTTATTTTATTCATTGTCTAACTGCATGATCCGGCATCCCTCAATTCTTTTGCACGCATAGTCTAACTGCTCAAATGCACAACACATTTATATTGTTTTATCCAGGTTTAACTACTCTGGTCTGAGTAAAAGTTCCCTATTTTATTCTTTATCATTCTATCCTCCTCACGTAAATGACATGACGAAGATCTCGTTCTAAGCTTATTTAGGAAGCTGTCGAAAGGTTCCTGGTACGGTACATTCCAGAACTTAGGTGCAGCGCCGGATTTTACCTATTAAGCATTCTCAGTACGTGCGTAGGGCACCAGCCCAAAAGAGGCACCAGACAATATTCAAATTAATTGTTGTGGATAAAATTTAAAAAAAACTATATACAAATAAATGAGAGAAATATTGTTTTATTGCTGGAATTTTTAGTTCTTTAACGGACTTGAGTTTGGAAAAGTCAGTACTGAAATTAGCACCTGTTTGTTTGGTGCGTTATCGAAAGCATATGTTTCAAACACACATAGTCCCAGAAAATCCCGTGGCTCATATGTTTTCTCTGCACAGAAGCTATAATTCACGATACATCTATATTGATAAATATGGGTTTGATCACGAGTACATTAAAATTTATAGTTATTGAATTTTTAATATCATGGTGCATAGGTCTACTATCGAAACTGAATACGTACTGAGAACCATAAGAGGAAAATGATTATGAGACAAGTGTTCCCGCCACTATACCATTTTACGTGTACACTATGATAAAGGCTGTAAAATGCGAAACTTCTAAAATCATTTTACCTTTAAAACGGCAGAATTATCTATGCGTCCTTAGTTGGTTACCGGTTCCACCATACTGATCTATTGTCCACTAGTAGGGGACATAACTGATATCAGTCATGTGACTACGCTGAATAAGCTGAATGAATCTCCTATGATCCGTTTCAAAATATGCTACATTAATTTTATAGAACAGCATCTATTAAGAAAACTATCACATCACAGACCACACTAGTCAGTATATATCATTGATGTTTGGAGGGGAATACATTAAATTTGTCAATGACCTATGTATGTATGTATGTATGTATGTATGTATGTATGTATGTATGTATGTATGTATGTATGTATGTATGTATGTATGTATGTATGTATGTATGTATGTATGTATGTATGTTAAAGGGCACATCATCACATTATTGGATATAATCTTCCAATGAAAATATATTAATGAGAGATTGTCTACCCACATGTTTTCAGTTCTATATGTAGGATGATGATGGCGATGAAGACAACAACGATGATGATATACGCTATCTTTTTATATACTACGCCTTATGCGATTTCCTCTCTTACAACAAAAACAACGCAAAATACAACAAAATTCAAACAACAGTAACTACTGCTGCAACAACTACTACTATTGTTCTATAGATATAGTATGGACGTGTCCAAAAGTACTAAAGACTGACTATTCGCTCATCTTAGACGCACATCGATCGCAATATATTTTGTTCTTATTCAGGTGAAGTGCCTCAGTCGTCAGAGTGAGTTCTCGCAATCAAAGAGTCTGAGTTTTAATCGTACCGTTGGATCAGCACGCGTTGGATACAGTGGTGGTGTTTCCTTGGTCAAGTGCTGCTCCGGTTTCCTCGGCACTAAATAACCTCCTTTTGTTGCTGCGCCGTAAAACACCAAATAAAAACGAAATATTTATGTTTCTACATCTTCCATGGAAACAGATTGTAAATCGTGACTGGTCACATAAATTACACGAAGTAACATATTTTTCAATGTGAACTTTAGACATTAATTTCTTCATTCCAAATATAAGAAAAAAGTTGATTTGATTTGTCTCCATTTCCTTGCATCACACCCAATATTATATCGTTTATCCTTGGATTTTATTCCGGAAGAATTAAAAGACCCATAGAGTATCCTGCTACTATGCACGTGTATGCTACATAAAATCGCGTGTGATTGATGAACTCAGCACACTGTAAGATCCGACTTCAAAGACAATCCCACTAACATTTTATGCAGCACAATGTAAGATCCGACTTCAAAGACAATCCCACTAACATTTTATGCAGCACAATGTAAGATCCGACTTCAAAGACAATCCCACTAACATTTTATGTTTTTAAGAATGTTATTTGCTACAATTATTGGAGAGAATTATACGATCAGAACAGTATTTGTTCTCTTCTGCTACAGTTCCATTTGGTGTGGGATGACAAAGCATTTCATGTATATCTCTACTTAAATCTTAAA